ATCTAGCTGTCTATCTATCTATCTATCCATCTATCTATCTAGTCTAATTGCATGTGATGGGATTCAGTTCCCGACGGATCACTCTGATGATCCATTTCTTGTCTAGTGTGTGTGTCTGTGCGCGTAATTGCGCGCACCGTTTTTTTTTTTAAAGCAGCATGCTGAGCCAATTATTAGAACAGGCTCAATATCTCAGCTCCCGGCTTGATCATTTATAGAACCCTTCTCTTATGCCGTGTGTTTTATCACGCTTGAGCATGTTTAACACGGGCTCAACCAATACGGAGATAATATGCCAACCTTCTTGACTGTGAACGGCGCGTCATGTGTATTTGCATACCTGCTTCTGGGTAAATTGATCCAAGAAAGCATTGGGCTTGAGATTATCTTACTTTGCCCTCCATGAAAGTCGGTCTTCGGCTAGGCTACCATTATGGCACCACGATTCAAGTAGTTCGTACGTATCATATCGATAGATCATATTATATACATGTATATTATATATATATATATACATCTTGCTGCGGGTCAGTACAAGTTGAATTTTCACTCAATTCGATCCCATTTTGTCTCTCCTTTTTTTGAACAACCCTCATCTTTCAAAACTATTTGACTTAAAATACTCTGAACATGTTTGAATCTTTGCAAAGTCACATTCTCAAAGGCAATGCTCAAAGCATCCTGTTCTTGCGCAGAAAGAGTAAAAGTGGCCAGGGTAGCCAGCTCTTCACCAAGGCCCGAAATTGTTTTTTGCAAAGGAGTCCAAACAGCTGAGAGCACCATGTTGAGCCATCGAACACTTTCTTCGCCTGTTGTCCCACTATATGAGACGCCAAGGCCTTGTTCTACAATTCTTGCTCTCCGTTGCTGCTCTTGATCCACACTAAGGACCACAGTCAGAACAATCACAAGACCGGCACAATGGAGCCACACGGGGCTTCGTCGACAGCAGCTGCATCGGCGACGCCGGAAATGTCTCACATGTCTCCACAACTTAGCACCCGTGGAAGGCGGCAAAGTCCGCTCATCTGAGACTTGTCTGCTTTGATCACCGTTCTCTGGAATCAAAGACTCTACATGCAGGTGATCTGCATAGGACCTGGCAGGGGCAGCTTTCAGCCGCCATGACTGAAATCACCTACAACATAACATACCAAATAGTGCCCGGCCCCGCCTGGGCGGAACTTTTCAGCAAAAACAATGACGATAAGAAATGTCTGTGAAAATCCTGGGGGTATGGAGGATTGGTGGCTGTGAGGTGCATCAATCAATGGGCAAAAGGTTGCCGCGATGCCAATGAAATCACATGAAAACACCAGGATATGTAAACGAACGAACGAATGAATAAATGAGTCAGCGAATGAATCCATGAGTCCATGAAACTCAGCTACTTCTTCTCTGGCCCGCTCCTGCTCTGAGCTACCACCCTCTCTCACCTACTGCTTCTGTAGCTTCCGTAACCCAATCTTCTCTCCGTGCAGCCAATGCAATGCGAACGTCACACCAAATCGACCAACGTGCGCAAAGCGCTGACAGTGGGGCGACTTCCGCTCTATATAGTCTGAGTCCCTCAGCTTTTAGCATGTTTACGCAAAATCGAGCTCTCGCTACGGTCTCGTGCACTTTTTGTCGACAACTTTCCCAGGTCCTGGCCCGCAACTGTGGAAACACATGGAAACACAGACCCTCCCTTAGCGACCCCAGGGGCCACCCATACCTGTAAAAACGGGGATTCGCACACTTCCATGCGTTCACCCACGAACTCGCACGCTCCCGGACTGTTACTTACTGCGATCTACTGTTTCACTTCCCAACCACTTCATGATGTGGTTGACATGATGATGTGTCTAACATAATGGTGTGAAAACTGACCATGACCATTCGTCCGTAACCCGGAAGTTTGCTAACTACACTTCGTTTGATTAAAATGAAACATTGGCAACATAAAGCATGATAAATCCAGGCATTCCAGGCTGATCGGCATTCCAGAAAATCTGTTATTTTGGCAAGGGCACGAGGAACCAGATGTGCTGGGTCCACTTGGTCGGCTGGCTCGGCCAAGAATCCAAGCCACAAACAGCGCCAAGGTCAAGGGCGGTGCTAGAGCCACAGTCCGCTCGCTGGGGCTGCCGAATGCATCTCGCAAGAGGCGTCGCGCAACTTGCTCCACCACTCGACGTTGCCTTCCAAAGTCACGGAGGGAGAGTACTCAATAGAGTACTCGGGTGTTTTGCATTCCCGCTAAAGTTGTTGAATGTTGATCCTTCCCATCAGATTTTTGAATTTCCCAGAAGTTTTTCCCTTCCCATATTTTGCGTTTTGCTTTCTCGGTTTCTGGCGTCTTGTTTTGTCTTTGTTTTGTTTTGCGTTTGAATCAATGGACCGGTTTGCCTGCACTTGCCGCATGTGAGCCCGCACTGCTTTGAACAGCTTTCAACAGGCGCTTGCGTATGGGACAACCATGGCTCCATTGAAACATGAGACGCACAAGCATGGACAAGCATGGGGTCCCTTAAGTTTGAAGCATCCAATTTTTTGGACAACCTAGTGACAGCGATATGCACGCACTTGGTTCTGCGCTCAGCAAATATCGTTCTTTATCAGCTAGCTGGCCCGATCACACGGCGGGAAGATGACACGGCGGCCTCATTCTCTTCGTTGACATCTTCCCGCCGTGTGATCGGGCCAGCTAGCTGATAAAGAACGATATTTGCTGAGCGCAGAACCAAGTGCGTGCATATTGCTGTCACTAGGTTGTGCAAAAAATTGGATGCTTCAAACTTAAGGGACCCCATGCTTGTCCATGCTTGTGCGTCTCATGTTTCAATGGAGCCATGGTTGTCCCATACGCAAGCGCCTGTTGAAAGCTGTTCAAAGCAGTGTGGGCTCACATGCGGCAAGTGCAGGCAAAACGGTCCATTGATTCAAACGCAAAACAAAACAAAGACAAAACAAGAATAAAGAAAGTGTGATAAGTTTGACTACAACATGTGCGCTGAGGCAGGTGCCCAAAACTCAGTTCAACTGAACTGGCGCGATGACTGCAGGTTGCTAGCAAATTAAGGACATCGTTTCAGGCAAATGGATGCAAATCGACAAATCAAGGTGATTCAAGGTATATATCAGACATAGATTTGCATAGTTCGACAAAGATCCACAAGTTGCAATCCATTGCAATCCCGTTTGCACTCCAAGACCTTCGACAACGGCAGATGCCTGGGTCTTGTGACAAGATAGCTGCTGGCAGGTGAAGGCTGCTTTGGCCTGAGGAGTAGAAACATTCTGGATGCCAACATAAATCCAACAAAACATAGAAAGAGATAGAAAGAGCACAGGCCGTGGCGTGCTATCTCTCACTCTTGCAGTCCTATTCTTGCTCAACAATGAGATCTGTAAGAAGAAATTTATTGGGATCATATAATATATAAGTATACAAGTAAGGCAAAAGGCTACGGTATCTTTCGGTTTTTCAGTAGCTCGGAATCTGACGCTTCAGTCTCCATCTCTGAGTCTGGAAGAGGTTTCCGACTCTGGCCACGTAAAGCCAGCCCAAGGCTTCTCGTCGGCTCGCTCAGAACCTTCTGAAGAGAAACAAAAAGGAATCAAAAGTCCGATTCAAATCGTGTTTGAATCCGTTTAATGTATTTTAATATCATCATTATAAACATATTTAATCATATTTTACCGTCGTTCTCCAAATCCCGACGCGGCATTTGTTCAAATTCGAATGCCAAGTTGTTTTGCACATCAATGTTTGTCTCTTTCGCCAAACTGTCAACGGCAGTGCTCGTTTCGAGCCTTTACGCTGTCCTCGGCTACCTTGGCTGCCTGCAACATAGCAAGTGGCACAAATGAGAAAGAAGTGTGCCTTTAAAGCCTTTGAATGAGCGAAATTATTCTCATGTTCTCTGCACTTATGCACAGAAATGCAACTTCACCTTTGTTCAAAAGTGTCCTTGTTTCCTTCCGTCTTACATTGTATGTCCATGTATGTCCTTCAGAATTCGTAGGAGGAGCCAAGCCTCTGAAGCAATACCTTCAACCGTGCCACCAAGACCAATGGTTGCATTTCCTGCACCAGTCAAGACCGCTGCAGCAATCCTGTAGACACCAGCCTGGATGGCTGCGGATGGCTGCCGCATGATCATGCTCCGTGGCACTCGAGTAAGCGGTGGAAAGTTGTGCAAAGCAGTGCAAACCGGTGCAATTTATTTGTGCACTGTGTGCATCACCAATGCACCAAAAAGGTCCAAACAGTCTGCATCCCAGCTGCAAACACTCTGGAAGGTGCTGCCAGCGGGCCACTCTTCACAACTTGAGTCTCTCCAAACCTCAAAGGAGCAGGAGTATGCACGTCTTCCAGCAGGATGTGTCGATGGAAGTAAAACTCAATTTGCAAATGCAAACGTTAAAAAGTCAAACCATGCATGGTTTACAAAGCAACGTATTGCTTGAGGGAGAGATTAGGTGCAATCGAGTCCCTCTGTGTCTATGCAAGACTTAGCATCCAGGATCAGGTATATTTTTTCTCTTGCCCATAGCCAAATATAATCACATATAATCAATTATAATAATAATGAATTATAATCACATATGGCAACACTATGCCACACTCTATTTGGTTCAAGCGACGTTTGCACAGCCTGTCCCAAGCCGCGTGTCAGACCCCCAGTGAGACGAAGGGTTGCGCCCAGAGTGGCAGCTGTGGTGTCTCCAACGCCTCGGACCTCAATTCGAGAGTTGCACAAGAGTTGCACAAAAAGAAAAAATAACGATGGTGAAAAAATTGTCAAATTACGTCAAATTATGTCAAATTCGATTCACAAAGATCACAGAATTCTACAAAAATGCCGTTTGGTACATGGATTAAATCATGTTAAATCAATCTAACTGGCGGGCAGCTAAATCACACTGCGCAAATCTGCATGAAGCAAGTGAAGCAAGTGTGAGGCACAGTACAATCTACTTCCACAGCTGAAAGCCCCAAATTGCTTAGAGAACTGATTTTCATAAACCAGTTGGATGCTGCTTTTTTTGCACTTATGTCACTTGTGAAAAGGTGCGTTTCACATCCTTTCACATCCTTGCGAATGAGCGGCCAACAAAGCAGTTTCATCTACAGTCCCTGTGATTGCATCTACTGTTGCCGCCATAGCCCGTCGAGCCTCACAAAGCGGCGCTGGTGGAGGCTCTGAACGAGGGATGCCAATGGTTTGATATCCTAAAGCCCTTTAAAGCTCTGCAGTAGGACAGTATGGTATGATAGTGTATGCTTATGTAACTTATGTATACTTATACTATTGCGTGGTATTGTATGGTATTGTGTGTCGCTGAGAACGTCCAGATCCACTTTAAAATACGGGTTACCTTCAGCGCTCTTTGAACGACCTTGCCTTCACTCGGCCATGTGTGTAATTGTCGTAAGCCGGACCAGCTGGCTGTGTCCAATTGCCAAGTCTGACTTCATTGCCGAGTGCTTCGAACTGCTCTGCATGCCTTAGTCATGCGCAGCACAAGGACGGCTGATTGTGGGTTTCTTTCTACTTTCTTTCGCAGTCGAAACAACAGTTCAGCAACAACGCAGCTATTCAGAAATTTGAGGTCGAGTTCATGTGCTGCAGCAAAATCGAACAGCTTCAACACTTGGGTGGAGTGCTCATTGACATGTGCATCTTTCTGTGTTTCTCATGGAGTCTCTGCCTCTTCAATCAAACCATGTACCTTTTCAGACCCTGAGCAGAACTGTCTTTTGTTCAAAAAAATATACAACTTTATAAATATAACAAATAAATACAAATAATATCAAATCACGCGCAACTACCTGGAAGAATGTCCTATCGCTTACGCAAAGATGCTCATTGTCTTTCAGTCTTTTCCACATAACAGAAGTCTCACGTCAACGTGCAAGAAAAGTCACGTGCTCTGTGCCAGAGCAGATCTCAGGATCAGAAAGACATGTGGAACATGCCAAAGCCACCGGAACCGCACTGTGAAGGGCATTGCCTCTGGTGCCGCTGACTACTTTGGGTTGTCACACTGTCACACTGCTTTGTTTGTAGCTGTGACGTGCCTGTCTTAATGGCAACACATCTAATCGGCGGAGTATGAGTACTGCTCTCAGTGCTGCTATGAGTATCAGAAACAGTGAGACCCTCATATTTCTGCCTTCATCTGCTCTCTGCACACCTCTGTATTGCTCTACGTTTGCTTTAGCTTCACTTGGTTGTTGTTGTAAGAGAACGGTGTGCAGCCGAAGAAGATTTCTCCTGTTTTCTGTGGGCATCTTCCAGTCACGCCAAATCTGCCGACGTGCTATCGGCTTCTTCCTATTAATCCTGCGTGCTGTTCTTTTCTCATTATGGGCCTTCAAGCCAGCAAATGCTAGAGCAGTCCGGGGCACAATTCCGCGAACCTGCAAGCATCCACAAAAAAAAATCAGCATAATATACCGGTCACTGGTCGAGTGTGGCTGCCTGCACTTGCTGTGTTTCTTCTGGCATAGTAGAAGCTGCCTGTTGCAAGCGGCTCAGGGCAAGAAGTGAGTTCGATGCGTGCACTGCATTCTCCTACCTTGTCCTTGTATTACCGATGTGATTCCTGTGCAATTATTTTACACAGCAGGCTGGCCTCCATCTCGACTTCAGTTTGGGCTGCCTGCCTCGATGTTCCGCCCTTTGTCTCTCCTTCGCTCACTTCCACTGGCTCATCCTTCTCGTCCTTCTCGTCCTTCGCTTCTTCTTCTTCAAGCTTCTCTGCGTCATCATCGTCATCGTCATCGTCGTCATTGTCATCATTGTCATCATTGTCATCGTCATAATCTACTTCCTCCTCTGGTGTCTCTTCCCGCATTTCCTGCCTTTCCTGCCGAGGTTCAGCTTTCTCTTCGTTCGGAGGCTTGGCTGTGTTGAGGGTTCCATTGCTCTGAGCAGCTGCATCCTGTTTGGCGATCTGTATGTGTCTAGGTTGCGGGAGGGGGCGCGGGACATGCGGTTTTTGGACAGGCTCTGGAGTAGGGGTCACGGCAGTAGCTGCGCTCTGACCTGGTGCGTCATTGGCTTGTTTTGTTTGAAGCTGTTCTGTGGGCATGCTTGGAACGGAAGGCACAGCTGGCGGGGAAAATGCTGGGGGCACAGTCGGCTGGTTCTGAGGAGGTTTTAGTGGCTCTGTCGGTTTCATTTCGATATCTTTGTTCGCTTCTGTTGGTTCCATTTCTGGCTCAGGAGGCTCTAGTGGCTCTGGTAGTCGAGCTCGTGGTGAGGCCGGTGACGCCGGTGAACTCCGAATTGGAACTGCTGGGCCTGCAGATGCAACCGCTGGAGTTTCGGGAGCTTGTGTAGCTGGTGCAGCTGGTGGTAGGGAAGAGGCTGGTGGAGCCCCTGGAGCTGGTGGACTTTTTGAAGCTTCCTTTGGAGCTTCCTTTGGAGCTTCCTTTGGAGCTTCCTTTGGAGCTTCCACGGCTCGCTGTGGACTTTGGCTCGGTGGGCTTGGGTCAGGCAAATCAGGTGGAAGCTTCGGGAGCTCTGGGAGCTCGATCTGAGGTGGGCTAGGCTTCACAAACAGATTCGAATTTCCAGCAGGTGCCGGTGCTCCAGGTCCAGGTGCTCCTCCAAGTGGTCCCGGCGGTGTGACCTGCGGCCTTCGAAGTCTGCCGTTGGGTGCAGCCAGCCTCGTCAGAGCGGATGCGAAGACCAACCGCAGGATTCTAGGGATAATGATGCGAAGAAACCTCTGCTAGAAATGAAATGGCAGAGTGCTTGAGCACCGCGCTTTATGTCGAGATCACATTGCCCAAGGTCTGACCGGACTTTGGTCACCTAGACAAATAGAGAAATGGGCGATGACATCGTTTGATAAGAATGAGACGACTCAAAAGCAACATCTCACTGAGCCACGTGCCCTGGCACTGAGCCAACGTCCTGCTGACACACTCCAGTACTCCACTGCTTCACCAGCCTGACAAGGCAAATCCAGGCATCAGTGCTCTCTGCCCTCCACCAGCCTTCCGGAGCCTTTTGGGAAACCACCCGTCCCAAGAATTTCCCTGCATTGATGGCAGTTGATTTGGCACATATACAATGCTTCTGCCAAGTCTTTGTGCCTCAAAGCGTTCCTGCGAAGCCCTCAAAGATGGACGGACCTTCAAGCAAACTCGCGGATAGTTTTAAAGCTTTGCAAGAAGTTGCAACGGCATATATCAAATGTCCTTCAATGTCATTTATATACTTATATAACTATACGATGTGACAAACAGCCTGGAAGTTGCATTGCCGCCCATCCATTCGTGATTTGGTCACCGCAAATATTGCTAGCATCTTTGTATGAAGGCATCTATGCATGCAACCAGGCACATACATGCGACAAATTGGAAGGACATACAACTGAGCTAGACAGTCAGGGTGTGTTTGCTTCAATTTTCCCATATCTCTCTCTCTCTCTCTCTGCCTCTGCACATTTGCTCCTTCACCTACCTTTATTCCTCTCAAGATACTGCAGGTTCTTGACCCCGCCTTGTCTGCAAAAACATTTTTTTTGCATTCCAAGTCATAGCGAATGTTGCCATCCTTGGTCATTGAATGTCATTGGTTTTGCTCTTGTTGAATCGTGTCGTTTTCTTTGCTTTGTTTGAGGTGCTGGATTCTGCTCACGAGGCATTTTTACAGCTGTAACGACCTGAGATCGCTGTGCTGCCGGCTAGTTCGAATATTCGGATCACGGTCGTCTCCATCCATTTGTGTTTGGTCTCGCTGTAGTACTGAACCTGCAACATAACATGATACAAAATGATTCACATGCAACACGATCAACAGCATCAAAAAAAACACAAAGAGAACTCAAAGAGAACGCGAAGAGTCAAAGACTGCGTGATTCGGTGCAGTTTTCTCCGCCTGGTCGCCTCCTTTGAAGCTACAGGCCAAAGGAGGTGGAGGCACAACCTTTGGACGCGAATTCCACATGAATTCTACATGAATTCTACATGGAGCTACGGAGCTACAGTCGGCTACACTCATGCGGCGTCAAATCATTTTCTGGAACTGCTTTCGTTTGTCAATACATGTTGCCTAACGTGCATGTCAGGTTGAAACATGTTGAAACTAGCTTACACCTGGGCACTTGCATGTACTTGATGTCTACATGCAATCCAAACTCCAGGAACTGGTGGTTACCTCGTTTAGAACAAAATTGAAATCCAAATGTAGAGGGCAAAGAAAAAGTTCAGTCCCTCTCTGATTGCACTCATGACTGTAATGAATCTTGGACGAGCTTGGATGGAAAATGATAGAAAAGCTTCGATGCCGTGTCACCTGAAACTTGTGTGAACATGTGAAGGAGGAAGTATGGAGGAAGTATGGAGGAAGTATGGAGGAAGTATGGAGGAAGTATGGAGGAAGTATGGAGGAAGTATGACAAACTGATTGTCCTCTTTCAACACCAAAAAGTTGCTGATGAGCCGGCCGCTCCATGCGAAAGGCTTCCGGTCCGCGCTGCCTGTAGCACAAGCCAGGAGAAAAATGAGAAGCGGCGAATGTGGCTTCGGTCGCAGCCTTGAAAAACTGAGGTACTGGTACTGCACTTCCAGGTGCCTTTTACACAGCGCAGGTATGCACACATCACAACAGAAGGAGACTCGAAACATCTGACAACAATGCTATGTTGTTGTACCATACTGTATGTTCACACTGTCCAATTGACACAGCCCAAAAACACGGAAAAACGTCGAAAACCCATGAAAACCCGAGTTGCCAAGGGCATGAAATCGTTAATCAAATCAAAGTGTCTAAGGTGTCTAAGGCAGTCCGCCTTGCGCACGCGGCTCAAAGGTGCCCCTGGCTTGACACTGAGGTCGCACTGTTTTGCCTTGGCAGATCGTGGCTCGTGGCAGCTCGTGGCAGCTTGTGGCAACCTTGCGAACTCCAAAGCAGTTTCTACGGTCACTGGTTTTTGTTGCGTAAGATGAGTAAGGTCTTTGCATCTGGGAGAATTTTCTCAACCTTAGTGTCTCAAGTTTGAAAGGAGATGTTTGATTCCGTTTGAAACAGGTGGCACGTCTTTCAAACTTTCAGCACGTCTTTCTCTTCACAATATGCTGAGCCGCAATGGCAGGCATCCAGCGGTGAGATGATGCGCTCCAATACTCGACCTGCTCTCCGACCTCAGTGACGGCTCACCAAAAGGTCTCACAAAGAACCAAGGCAGCTGAGGCCTTCAAGGCTGAAAGGCAGCTGACGAGGCCAAGACGGTGTACTCGACATGGGATTTCCGCAATCGCTCTGCTGGCACGCCCTTTTTCAAGTTTAGGTCGTACATGACAGACCCATCCTGAGCATGGGCAAAAGGATGGGCAAAAGGATGGCGAAGCGACAAAGCCAACTTGGAAGCAAAGCAATTTGCAACTTGGATCCCCAAGTCCCCAGCATCCTTTTCATGCCGCACTTCCACCTCGGCATCATTGATGATCATTGCACGTCAACAACATGATTCCAGCATGGATAAACCCGTTCTGCAAGAGAGAGATTCATTGCAAGGCCATTTTATACCAACCAAAACGCGTGCCGAATCACCCATCTCCAATTGCAAGAAGATCAAGAATGGCAAAACTAAATTGTCTGAATCTTGACATTATTGACATTGATTTAGCTGTGAGGAACAACTGAAATGCTGCAACGTGACAATCACATCAATCCAGCGTTCTTTCGTTTCGCTGAAATATTGCACCTGCAAGCTCAAGGTCAAGAAAGGAGTAGCAGGAACGAAATGAACCATACAATACATGTTGTATACATTTGTGTACTAGTACATTGGCAAGTATTGCAAGAGGCCAGCTCCAACAAACGTATGAGCCATGCAAAAGAACGAGTGAGCTTGAATGGCTGCACAGCACAAATGTGTAGTCAGCAAGCACCTTGAAATCACATGAAATCGCTGTGCCCCCTTAATAATCTCAAGATATCTCAAGATATCTCAAAGGCAGGGAAGAAATAAACTTATGTGTGCAGCTCGCTGTATACATTGTGTGTGTGGAAATGTTATGTCTTACAATGTCGTACATTATCTTACACATAAAAGAATCACAAAGATGTGTGTGTGTGTGTTTATAACTTTGGTCAATTTGCTACATATATTTGCCATATCGGTACTACGGCACAGGTTCTAGCCTCCATGTGCGCCGAGTCATCTATCGCTTGTGATACAGGCTGGGGATCGTTTAGAATGCTTTGACAATTCTGATAGTGAGACATGATGCTTCGCGTCGATTGCCGGCCTCGCTTCTGTGAGTTGCTGTCGGCTTCTGTCAGTCTCTGTTAGTTGAAAGGTTTTTCTCTGATTGCAATCCTTGTCCATATTTGTCCGTGGATGGGCAAGTTGGCGCCGGAACGCATTTCTACAATCAACGGAAGAGAGGAAAGTGTCTCTTGTCAAACTGGCAGCAGGCATGATCTAAACAATTTTCTGTAGCCCGGATATCCCTGGTGAGGCTCATAATGGGTGGCTGCAGACAAGGATTAGCGCATAGTTTGCACACACCAGCCTGCATCATAATTACACTGTAGCCTCTTATATATGACGGTTGTCAAAATGTCTTCTCCTGGTTTGGCTGATAAATCGTAATTCTTGGCGTGCCGCTTCTTGTTTGGTCTTTAAAACTATGACTTATCTAAATAGTCTGAAACCCTGCATTTTATCTTTCATGTTTGAAGCCGTAGCTAAAACCTGCAGTAACGTCTTTCTATATGAAGTGGGTGCCGCTGCAGTTCTTAGTGGTGGAACTAGAATGTTTTTTCATCTGCTGCAGGGTTTGTCGTTGCCTTTGCTGTCAGTGTTGCGTTTGTTAAACACGCAGGATAAACTACAAGTTCTCTGGTGGCGACTGGGTCACAGTTCAGCCAAAGCCGCTTTTTGAAACTTTTGCTAGCGGGGATCTAGCAGGTAAAATTACGCACAAATTCGCAAAATTGAGCTGCAACCTCAAAAATACAGGAAATTGTTGAGTAGCACAGAAATCCACTAAGACATCAGGAGCTAAGTGTTACATCTGGACTTTTCTTCATGTTGAACTAACAAGCAGTCAGGAACACATAAAAAAGAAAATATCCTTGAACATGGCTGTGAAAAAAAACTATCGCAAACCTAGCGGGTTTGCTAGCGCTGCCTTGCAGAATTGGTGAATTTAGTTGTCGCCTCATAACGAAGAGGAAAACCCACTAGGTCCACACTAATTATCAACGACTGGTGCAAAACTTCTGTCAACTATTTTTGGCAAATGTTTTGTACTTTCTCAATCTCAACGGAACTGTCCCCGGCATGCGACAAAGGTGCGATCACATACCAATACAACTGAAGCTGGTCAAACAAATCCATTTCCACAGCGAGGGCAGCAGCCTCTGCATCCTTCTCAAACTTTTCAACTGTTGCCTCACAGACTGTAAGAATATGTAAGAAGCAACAAAAACAAAACCATCTTTTAAAGATATCTTGTCTAGAGGTGCCAAGGCCAAAAGGAGAAGGAAATGATGCTGTTTGTGCTGCTGTTGCAGCCTGATGCAGCTATCACGAACAAAATAACGGAGCTACACTGGAGCAGCATACGATCCTGTCTACAAATATGATGCCGGACCATGAATCACTGGGATCTCTTCGCAACACGCGCCTTCTCCACTGCTTTTTCATCGCTTTCCGGAGGAGGCACTCTTACGGGAGCCTCAAACCATGCCAAATTAGCAAAAAAATCAAAAAAATGTTACAATAGCAAGAGTTGTTTCACTATTTGTTCCACATGTTTTCCAAATAAAATTATGGGTATATTTATATGTACCAGGTATGTTAAGTATAAGTCTGATTTTTTGGGGGCGTGGGACTTAGAATGAGAAAAGCAAATGGTTAATGTCACACGTTGAAATTCAAAGGCATTCATCAGGACCTTATTCATTGGCTATGTGCCCAAACTTGAAACTCACCTCAGTATACCTCGCTCAAATATATAGATCTTCCATGAACTTTGAAGGTGGCATTCTCGTGGCGTTCCGCATGAAGCAACCCGAGCATAAGCTCCCAACCACAGGAGGTGGCCTTAGAAATCTCAAATCTACCCAGCCTCAACCCTTTTTGGCATCAAATTATCTATATTATCTGATGAAAGTACGAGAGCTACCAGGCTCTCAGGCTCCAGTGACCAAATCACACAGAGAGGAAACGCTACAGACCATAATATAGTCCATGACTTGTAATCAAACTCACTGCTTAGCTCTGAGGGTTCAACGCGTCTTCGGCAGTGGAGGCATCCTTGACTCTGGAAATATCTGCCTTGACCACAAATGCCCATTTACAAGTTGCATCTGTCTCCCAAGCGTTCGAGCTTTGAAAGCGCAAGGTCAGGGTAGGCCAAACTTGACAGTGTCAGTTCTGTCAGTTCTGTCAGTTGTGCCTGGGCTTTTGCAGTCAGGTCATAAGAGATGAGGTCGCCGTCCGGACCATGATTGATTCGTTGAACGTGCGCTTCAACCTCAGCGCACCGCACCATGTCGAGATATGTCGAGTCAGGTTCGGGTTCTGGCAGATCCGGCATGTCAGATTAGGGCTGCCCTGAGGCCCAAACCCATTTCGCATGAGTACCGCTCCAGTATCGAACCTTCTCCCCGATCTCAAAAACCCCTCGGTCCAGATTCCAAATCGGAAACTTGGTTCGTTTATTGATCGAATGTGATATTAAAGAGTTCTACTGAGTTCACGAATCTGGCAATTCTGAATCACTTCGTTAAGTCGCTGAGTGAACCGCGGGACTCATCCTTCGTATCCTTCGTATCCTTTGTATCGTTCGCCACGTCCTTCGTTTCCTTCGGATTCGTAGCTGCCGAAGCTGCGGTAGCTGGAGCCGAAGAAGCCGAAGGAGCTGCTGACGCTGCGGGCGCCGCAGGGACCGGAAGCGCCGGAGGAGCCGGCGGAGCCGGAGGAGCCGGAGGAGCCGGAGCCGGAGCTTCTGCAGCTGGGGCCTACCAGGTCACTACCAAGCACTCCAAGCACCAGGCGAAATGAAAGATCTGAAGGTTGTGTTGAAAGATGTTGAAAGTTGAAACTATGATATGACAAAGTTCTGAGAGTACTGATATACCGTTGATATGTGCTGATCCACTTGCATCTTGTGTATTCCAATTTATTCCTATGTCAGTTGTAGTTTTATGCTGTTTCGTCCTAACCAACTGATCTTAATCCTCATGATCCTGCCTTTCAGACACATTTGATGTTTTTGGTGTTTTGTTTTGATGTAACTGATGGGACCTCTGTGAGCAAGTTCTCACCCCAAATCCTTCACAATCCTCGCCTCCTGCGCCCTTGAAGCATTAACCTCTGAGGTCTTGTCCTGTGCTGATCTGATCTGAGCTGCCCTCCAATTACAAACCTTCACGAACTTCACCTTCATGGCAGGTTCCTATCAATTCCTATCCATCATAAGAATGATAAGCGCTTTTCCTTCCATGCAAATCACAAACGAGCACTATGGACCCGCTATAATATTTCATGACATCTGAGCGATCATCTGTATCCTTTCACTGGCATCAATTGCCGTAGTTCCACTAGCGCATCGCTAGCGTTCCTAAAGTGTGTTACGTCATAGTACGTCGCGGCGTCATCTAGCTCGCCTCTGATGGCAATGGCCGAGAGTCACTGGCACTGCTGCCACCCTGTTGCATCGCCTGGACAGTGGCCACAGATGGGATCTGCCAGGTTCACATGACTCATTCATGACTCTGCAAAGTCCTTGCCGGAACCCTGTTCATGCTGCAGTCGTGTCATTCCTGATTCTCGCTGCAGTCGGATATTACTGATGCAGTCAGTCATCTGATTCAGTTTAAAATCATTTGAATCATCTGGCCAGATTTGACCTGTTACCCGCTGACCTGCCTGCGGCTCATTGCGCAGATCCTGCAAATCTCGTTTCACTGGGCAAAGTAGGTCAACGAAGGTCAACGAAGGTCAACGAAAAGATGTGACGAAACACATACATGTCAAACCACTATCATCAGTTATCCGAGCAGTTGAGCCCTTCTGATTTGTCTGGATGGAAGGATTTTGCAAGTTGAGACAAGATCTAGGTCTAGGTAAAGTAACCTCAGTATAAGGTCTTGGTGTGATCAGAGAATTATATAGATTTATGTCCCTTTGAATCCATCGACTAGCCCTATGAAAAGCGACAAACCGATCTTTGAGTGGCAGAGTACGTCAAAATAACTATATTATATATATATTATATTATATTATATTATATTATATTATATATATATATTTATTTATATATTTATATTTATATATCCGGGTGAACAGTTGACAATGCAGAACGTATTCCACGTTGTCACCTTAAAAATTTGATCAGTGGTTCTTGTTTTGTGTTCATTCGTAGTCTTCACTTAAAGTGTGGTGCTGTGTCAAAACGTCAGATATGGTGGTCATATCTGTGTCACGTCTGTGTCACATATCTGTCTGAGTGCCATGTCTGTGTCATATGGCTGTCATCAGCTTGTCTCAGTCTACTAAGTTTACTACATTTTACTACATTTTACTACTACGCTTCTCATATGCTTCTCATCAGATGTCATCAGATGTCATCGGTCTACTATCGTGGCCACAATGGAGCGCACCTTGCGGCGACGCCAAGGAGGTGCCTCCTGGTGAGGTGGAACAAGCATGGAGGCAACGGAGGAAACGGAGGAAATGGAGGAAATGGAGACGGAAAATGGCGTCGAAGACTGAAACAAAACTAAGATCTCTGCAAGTGAAGACTTCCATTGCAGCCACGATTTCAATATCAAGAGCCATCCAACGCGTTAGAACAAATCACCTCCTGCCATTTCTTCTTCAGGAACAAGGAAACAGTAGAAACATGGAGAGACTATCTTTCACGCATCTCAGATCATCTCAGGATGCATTTGGCGCATGAATATTAGACACATCGACCAGGAGTATGTAAAAACCTAGGACCTAGAATCTCATGCCAAGTTCACTCCAAATGGAACACATGCCCGTCTTCCCAAATCTTTTAGATATTCAGGTCACGCCTCAGCCGCTTCTGATTGTGGCTGTGATTGCTGTGATTGCTGTGACTGCTGCGATCGCCACGGCGGGGCCGACGCGTTCTTCCTGAACACCGCTCAAAAGGGACTCTTCGGACTCTTGAAATCGCCTGAATTTGACTTGTTGCACTTTGCCCCACCAAATGTGACTGTTTCTACCACTAGCATGCCATGTATCATATGTATCAACATGTAGCAACAAATACTGCACTGGTAGGGTAGGAGGTCAGTTCTGTTCACCTGATTCGCAGAGAAACATCGGTCTAGATGGTCTAACTCTAAATGTATCAAGTGTGTGCATTGAAACTTCAATTATGTTTGGCTGCTTTGGTCTGCGTTCCTGTCATTTCCTGTCTACTTATACTCACAAAATCTCAAAAAGCACCGAGCATTTGGTGCTCGGTCAAGGCTAGCTGCGGTCTTCCATATCGCAGCATCGGGTCTGCTGCCGAAGCCATCTGTGGCGAACTACCAGTCAGCCACCTGGTCGGGTTTTTTTTCGTGTTTTTCTCGTTCTGAATCTTTAATCAATTTTTAATTAAGTCGGCCATTTCAGACGAGCACAATTCGGACCCTTCCACCAGTTCTGCCATGGTTCTCTAAATTTTGGAATTCTGTCATATTCTACAAAGTCTGCCGCCCAACCTCGCTCAGCGACTCGCTCATGGCAAAATTGCATGGTACACGGGTGGACTAAGCATGAGGCCAGAGGAAAGTATTTGGAAGTGCTGGGGCTTTTGTCTTTGAGGACCCATCTAGTTCTTACTCTTGCAAGCTCATGTTTAAAAAGTTTAAAAGTTCAAACCAGGTCTGCTGTTGGACGCTGAGACTGATGGAGGTCACAGAATTTCTTGGATTGGGAAGATACTGGGCTTGAAGTGTATGTGTGTGTGTGTGGGTTTGTGAAATCCGCTCTAAGAGTTGTGGGAACTAGTATCAAAGCAATGCTCTTGACTCACGAAGCATTCGCTTGCGTTTCCCTGCAGCGTGCGTGCTGCGGAAGCATTTGATGCTAGTTGAGGCCCTATGAATTTAAGGCAGAGCTTCAAGACACATCTGATGTGCAAAGATTCCTTCAAAGCTCCACCCAGCGAACATTGAAATAGATCCAAAGTCATTATGACTGAAACGTGCTGCACTTCCCTGTACATGTTCATGTCGCCTGCGCAATCGTTCCTATGTTAAAAGATGATAAAAGCGAAAAGGTAATTGCGATTGACAGCAAAGGGCTCCTGTTGGAACGGAAGCCGAGCTGGCGTAGCTGGCTGAGCTTACAAGTTAACAACAATTATTGCTCTCTTCTACGTCACACACCGCAGGAATCCTGGGTACTGCCAAGTAGTGTTCCATGCTCACCTAGTCACACGGCAAACCAATCCACCTTATTGCCTTATTGTTGAGTGATGCAGGGTGCATTTGGTGCATTGTACAAATAGAGTTTGCTCTGAGGTATGCTGAGATCCTCATAGCACCAGTGTGGTAGGTTGGGCGACAGTTGGTTCTTATGTTTTATTGGTGGCATGTTGAATCCCTTGTGTGCATGCTGAAATGTGTTTTTAAGAGAGTCTTCACAGATAGAGGCTTGGCTGCAAAGTGATAGCAATATCTTGGAAGGCATGATGCCGAAGCGTCCAACCGAAGTGTGAAGAAAGGGTCTTGCAAAAGGTCATTGTAACTTGAACAAAAGTGAGGCAAGACTTTCAGAAAGTCTTTGGGAGGGATTACCAGGCATGCTTTGAAAAAACAATACAGTAGGGGCTCAGTAGCGTTTTGTTTCCAGCATTCTGGTCCTTGTGCTTGGTGTGGCGTTTTCCAGCGACGCATTACTTTCATTTACTTTCTGTGTTTCCCCAGTTCTATCACGCTTCGGACGGCACGCATTGGCACACATTCAAAATGTCCCCTTGACGCGAGCGAAACAATGTGTTGAAAAGTTGAAACAAATCCTTCAGCCACATTGAAAAGTGAAAATGGTTCGCATTGGCCACATTGGTCCTCTTTTTCACCTGCAAAGCCGAAGCCAAGGCTGCCGTCGATGTGTAGCGGTGGCTTGCTTCTACAGTGCCCTAGCACATCAAAAGCAAGCCAATGCCACATTGAGCCAGGTTGCCCCTGAACAAATGGACTCTGGACAGTGGCAAAAAACTTGGCTTTGTTGACACTCTTAGCATGCTTGGCTTTGCCAAGCTTGCTAGATCTTCAATAAGATAAAATTGCTCCCTGTGCTCCGAAACATTGGAGACTTCGACAAAAATGTGGTTGAAGTATGAAACAAATTGAAACAAGACTGTTGTTACTTTGTCACAAAGGCTTTGAGTCAAATAATGCTACCTTACTTCTACCCGTTTCCCCGTTCATACCAAGAGCATGTTCCATCCCCAGGGGGAAAAGTGATCATTGATCTTAGGCGGGATTCAAACCTAAGGGAAGCTGCCGCAGTGCGGGATGGACAACATCACAAGGTACTGGCGCAAAAACCTGTTGAAATCAAACCATGCCAGTCCTTTGGGAAGGAAAAAGCTGCGCTTAGCAGCTACCCTTGTGGTAAAGTACCTCTCTTGTTTGCAAGACCCGGTTGTTGCATGAAATGCCTGGACCCCTGCACTTCAAGATGTTCAAAAGAGATCGAAAGAGAATCTGTGCACAATGATGCTCAAAAGGGGGCAAAGGTCTACTCAAGCACTAGGAGCCTAGAACCTACGCGGAAAAGCCAGGGCTCACTGATGTGCTAAACCTGTGGAACCACCGAGCACACAAGGCTGTTTGTTCAAGTAGCGACTCTTATCTGCTCAAATTCCGTCAATCTTTCGAATAGACTTTATCAAGATATATCGAGACTCCATCCAGGCTATAGTCAGGCTCTATTCTTTGCGAAAGCAGCTTGGATTTGAGACAGCAAGCCATCATGCAAAAATGTGACAGCTAAATACAGCTGGGGCATGGACGCTTTGTCAAAGGTTTGTTTGGCACCTTGCAATGATATCAATGATCTTCAGACTGATCTGCTCTGATCTGGATTCATCCGTCCTGCTCGTGTCTGCTGGTTCTTCCAGGCCAGGTAGAGTCCAGGTGGTCACTAATGTCACTTCTGTGAGATCACAGTTCGGTATGCTCGGTCCAGGCTAGCCACGTCTTTTTTCGTTTTTCACCGTTGCGTCGACGATGATCTTCGCAAGGAAACCACACAAATCTGACTGCCACTGAAGATGGGTTGTGCCCCTTGTGCCGCTTGTGCCTGCATGTTCTTTTCCAAGTCCTTCAACCTGAAAAAATGTGCTTCATGTGTGGATGAAATGTGGATGTCAGGGTGCAAACTGAGAACAGCTTCACCAGGCCTGCATTCGAGCTTTTGAGCACCTTCCGTCACTTCCTAGCACTGCTTGAAGTTGAGGCTGAAAGAAAGATAAGAAAGGTGACAAATTAGCTGCCATTCAGTAAAACAATGTAGCACACAGAGAGGGTCAACATCGGTCCACGGATGTCAACGGTCAAATGGTGACTGTGATAACGGCCACACCTTGAACCTCAAGTTGAGACCAGGATCGATGTCTTGGCGCAGCACTTCCTTTGCAGGCGCCATAGGCACCATCGCCAGATGTGCAAGATGTCCAAGCAGCTGCTGATTCTAATGCCGGAGTTGACTTAGGAAATACCGCGGTCGGTCCTCCTCCTTTGGAGCAGAAAACCAAATGTACGATAACTGTGATTTTGGGCCTGACAAACAGTATGATCTGGACACTCTGAATTTGTTGATTCAGTCATTAGAAGAGCAAAGTTTGCCCTCGCCTCGGGCATTCCTCCACGATGAATCTGTCTGAACTGGCCAGAGTCAGTTTTTGCAACAGATTGTTTTTACCCAAAAAGGTAAGACAAACCAGTGGCAAAGGTATCTAAATAGATTGGATGCTGAATTCCTCCTCAAATATGTTGTGCAAGAGCCGGCAACACAGATAGAAGAGCAATGGAAAGCACACATGATTGCATTTTTTGCACTCCCGCCGACCCCGGCAAAGCAAGGGGGAACGAGCAAGGGAAGAATATTTTTTTGGTGTAACAACAACAACAACAACAACAACAACAACAACAACAACAACAACAACAACAACAACAACAATAGGACCGGATAACCCCACATGTTAACAATTTCACCAGACTTTGACTGAGCATAGAAAAGCAACAAGGGAAGAGGAAGTATGAGAGTGATGGAGGGGTGATGGAGGGGTGGTGGAGGGGTGATGGAGGGGTGATGGTGGGTGAGTTTGTGTGTATGTATGTATGTGCATGTACAGGTGTGTCACTTTGGTAGTGTGTTAACGATATGTGTACCGGGTGCAAGAGGCAGTTTGTAATATATGTGATTACATGCGGATGTTATACGTATGTGTCTGTGTGTGAGGTGGCAGAGCGACGGAGACCAAGGGACGCCAGGGCGTACATCCGACCCCCTGCAGAACACCCTGCGCCGGAGCTGCCACGCAAAAGCCACCGGCAGAGCGGCGGAGACCAAGGGACGCCAGGGCGTACATCCGACCCCTTGCAGTGGGTCACAGCACCTTCTTAGAAGTCTTGCCGCTACTCTCATGCTTCTGTTTCAAATATGCTACAGTCAGCCAGAACACCGTCACCTGCCATTGGCGCAGGGCAAGGTGGGAGAGGACCCTGGACCCAAACGCACGGGATTAAACCTTGATGAGGGAACGGTCCGGGGCATCAAAACAGAGCCTAGAATCTGGCACCCAAAAAGTGTGCCCACTGGCAGAGCGGCGGAGACCAAGGGACGCCAGGGCGTACATCCGACCCCTTGCAGTGCACTAAGTCCCACGCCTGCCACGCAAAAGCCACCGGCAGAGGGCGTAGATCCGACGCCTTGCAGTGCACCAAGTCCTACGCCTGCCACGCAAAAGCAACCGGCAGAGCGGCGGAGACCAAGGGACGCTAGGGCGTACATCCGACCCCTTGCAGTGCACCAAGCCCCACGCCTGCCACGCAAAAGCCACCGGCAGAGCGGCGGAGACCAAGGGACGCTAGGGCGTACATCCGACCCCATGCAGTGCACCAAGCCCCACGCCTGCCACGCAAAAGCCACCGGCAGAGCAGCGGAGACCAAGGGACGCCAGGGCGTACATCCGACCCCTTGCACCAAGTCCCACGCCTGCCACGCAAAAGCCACCAGCAGAGCGGCGGAGACCAAGGGACGCCAGCGCGTACATCCGACCCCTTGCAGTGCACCAAGCCCCACGCCTGCCACGCAAAAGCCACCGGCAGAGCGGCGGAGAAGGGAGGGAGGGAGAGTGAGAGTGAGAGTGAGAGTGAGAGTGAGAGTGAGAGTGAGACTGAGTGCGAGTGCGAGTGCGAGTGCGAGTGCGAGTGCGAGTGCGAGTGCGAGTGCGAGTGCGAGTGCGAGTGCGAGTGTGAGTGTGAGTGTGAGTGTGAGTGAGAGTGTGAGTGTGTGAGTAAGTGAGTGTGTGAGTGTGTGAGTGTGTGAGTGTGTGAGTGAGTGAGTGAGTGAGTGAGTGAGTGAGTGAGTGAGTGAGTGAGTGAGTGAGTGAGTGAGTGAGTGAGTGAGTGAGTGAGTGAGTGAGTGTAGTGAGTGAGTGAGTGAGTGAGTGAGTGAGTGAGTGTAGTGAGTGAGTGAGTGAGTGAGTGAGTGAGTGAGTGTAGTGAGTGAGTGAGTGAGTGAGTGAGTGAGTGAGTGAGTGAGTGAGTGAGTGAGTGAGTGAGTGAGTGAGTGAGTGAGTGAGTGAGAGTGTGTGAGTGTGTGAGTGTGTGAGTGTGTGAGTGAGGGTGTGAGTGAGTGAGTGAGTGAGTGAGTGAGTGAGTGAGTGAGTGAGTGAGTGAGTGAGTGAGTGAGTGAGTGAGTGAGTGAGTGAGTGAGAGTGAAAACTTGTTGGATGGCAAAGGGTCTGCCAATTTTCCTACAGGGATGTGAAAGAAGCAAAGCGCCATTCAAAATCAGAATGGTTTCAAGAGTCTTGGACGGTGCTGAACATCAGGGCGCTAGGGCAAACCTATTCTCCAGAGTTGCAGGCACAAAGAAATAAACCTGAATTCAACAGCTGCAAATGTCTCAAACAGGTCCTGGCCTGAGGTTGACATTGTTGCACTTCTAGGAAAAATATTCTGATCAGTTTCTCCGTCCTCACAGGCGCGACAAAAATTTCTCCAAACTGGGGATGTGCTCAAGTTTTCCCAGCTCTTCAAAAACCAACGCCCCAGCAGTCAAAGATCTTCGACAGGAAACGTCCAAGATCGTCCAAGTCGATGCAATTGGTAGTTTGGCCACGCCAAGGATTCCAAAGAAGCGGGCAAAAATGTTTAGTGCATATATTGCAGTGTTGCGCATTGTCAAAATCAAAGTAAACAAAGTCGATAGATCTGATGAAGGAAACCTGCGGCAAAGGGATTGCCTTTTTTGATTTTTTACGTCAGACATGCACTGTATGGTAGCCGTTTGCGGCTCTGGGGGTTCCTATCACCAACACACCCGCAGCCAGCTGTTAGGGTAGCACAAATGGTGTCTTGGCTTTTCTGAAAAGGAAAGTGGTTTCTGGACCGAACACTACAGTACCAAGCAGAATTCTCCACCCCCAAAGCCAGGCAGAACCTTTCGCTGGATATGAATTGCAATGTAAGCACTCCTCAGCAGGATACCTCTTTCGACTTTTGCAAATGTAGGTCATCGCCTGGCGGAGAGGGGCCACGTTGACAAGCTCTTGCGAGCATGACATCTCCGACTCGGCTTCATCTAACTCCCAACTGGATCGCCTTGTACCTGAGAACTCTTCTCGCTCTTGCCTGCTGAAAGTCCAGCCACACCTGACCGTGGATTGTGTTAATGGGTGGCAAAGCTTCCCAGGTTCGTCAATGCACACCGAACACGATCCCAGTTCTGCAAAGGTGCGTTTTTGATCGCGAAATCAAGCCAGACCTCCGAACCAAACAGCAGTTCAAATCGACAGTGCAGTTCTCACAACGCATGAAAATCGGCAGAACTTTGAAATGCCGCCGCTTGCTTTGCAAAGAATGTATATGTTTGTGTATGTTTCATCTTAGAAGAGGCCATCCACTATCCACTCAGATCATCTGCTTTGTTCAATCACTGCGCTCTCCACACACTCACTCTCTCTCTCTCTCTGCCGAGGAAATGTCTTGTCCACGCCACACTGAAGCCCTGTATTGTCACTGCGTACTCTCATGGCTACTAGTAGTACCGCACAGGGCTGTGGCGGAAGTTTCAAAGATAGGAAGCTATAGGAGAGGTGAGTTGCTGGGATGCATGGATGGGTGATGGACCGAAAGGTGGTTGGAGTTGTGTGTGTTGGAGTGGTTGCAGCGGTCACCTCAACCACAACTGCTGGATGTAGTGTGGTGTGGTGTGGTGTAGTTGCAGTTATAGTCATAATTGTAGTCTGGTGTAGTTGAAGTAGTAGCTGTAGCTGTAGTTGATGTTGTTGTAGTTGTTGTTGTGATGTTGTAATGCTGTAATGTTGCAAGTTGTAATGTGGTAACTGCTGTTGCAGTTGCATATTGTTTGTCATGCTGTAACGTTGTAATGCTGTAATGTTGTAATGTTGTAACCTTGTAGCATTGTACTGTTGTAATGCTGTTGTAATGCTGTTGAATAGTTGTAGCTGCACAAGTTGTTGCAGTTGTAGTTGTAGTGCCGTGTAGTGTAGCAGTTGTAGTTGGAGTTGGAGTTGGAGTTGTAGTGTAGTGTAGTGTAGTGGTAGTTGTAGTCGTAGCTGTAGCTGTAGTGAAGTGTAGTGTAGTGTAGTGGCAGTTGTGGCAGTAGCTATTGCTGTTGTAGTTGTGGTTGTGGTTGTAGTTGTAGCTCTTCAATGTAGTTGAAGTAGTAGTAGTAGTAGTAGTAGTAGTCGTAGTCGTAGTCGTAGTCGTAGTAGTAGTAGTAGTAGGAGTATTAGCATTAGTAGTAGTATTAGTATTAGTATTAGTATTAGTAGTAGTAGTAGTAGCAGTAGCAGTAGCAGGACTAGTAGTAGTAGCAGGAGTAGTAGTAGTAGTAGTAGTAGCAGCAGGAGCAGTAGTAGCAGGAGTAGCAGCAGTAGTAGCAGTAGTAGTAGTAGTACTAGTAGTAGTAGTAGTAGTAGTAGTACTAGTAGTAGTAGTAGTAGTACTACTACTACTAGTACTACTAGTACTACTAGTACTACTAGTACTAGTAGTACTAGTAGTACTAGTAGTACTAGTAGTACTAGTAGTACTAGTAGTACTAGTAGTACTAGTAGTACTACTAGTAGTACTAGTAGTAGTACTAGTAGTAGTACTAGTAGTAGTACTAGTAGTAGTACTAGTAGTACTAGTAGTACTAGTAGCCTAGTAGCCTAGTAGCAGTACTAGTAGCAGTACTAGTAGCAGTACTAGTAGCAGTACTAGTAGCAGTACTAGTAGCAGTACTAGTAGCAGTAGTAGTAGTAGTAGTAGTAGTAGTAGTATTAGTATTAGTAGTAGTAGTAGTAGTAGCAGCAGTAGTGGCAGTAGTAGTACTACTACTAGCAGTAGCAGTAGCAGTAGCAGTAGAAGGAGCAGCAGCAGCAGCAGCAGTAGTAGTAGTAGTACTAGCAATAGCAGCAGCAGTAGCAGTAGCAGTGTAGTAATCGTAGTAGTTGTTGTTATTGTTCTTCTTCTTCTTCTTCTTCTTCTTCTTGTTCTTCTTGTTCTTTTGTGCTTCGCGCCACACCGGCATGCACCTTTTCGACATCTTAACTTCAAAACATCGTCTGAGACCCTCAGTTTTTAACACTCTTGACTTGCGAATGTGCTTCACGCCACAACAGCGTACACTTTCGAGGTCCGAAACCCTCAGATTTTGATACGTTTGGCTTGCGAACGTCCCTCGCGCCACAACTGCATGCACTTTTTCGACATCTCAACTTCCAAAAGTGGTCCGAACATGTCGTGTTTTAGCCATTCTGACTTGGAAACGTGCTTCGCGCCACAATGGGGTGCATTTTTTGAACATCTCAACTTCCAAATGTGCTCCGAGCTGAAGCGCTTGGCGTGTTTTGACTTCTAAATGTGCTTCGCGCCACAGTCGCGTACACTTTTTCACATCTGAACTTCCAAAAGTGCTCCGACAACGAGGTGTCTTTAGCATCTTCACTTCAAAATCTGCTTCGCACCACAACTGCGTGCAATTTTTCATCTCTCATCTTACCAGATGGCTCCGCGCCCGCGGCTTTAGCGAGCCTACTTTTCGACCCTCCGGAGCCCCAAAACATTGGAAAAACACAGTGTTTCGCGACTTTTCTACCTTTTCGCACACCTGCATCTACTTTCTTCTGACTCTTTCTCTTCTCTGATCTTCTTTCTTCTTCCTTTCTCTTCTCTCTTTCTCTTCTCTGATTTTCTTTCTTCTTCCTTTCTCTTCTCTGACTCTTCCCACCTCTGCTTTTCCATCTGTCCATATCAACGGAAGTTTGAGTTCTAAACTCCCTTCGACAAATAAATTGCTATGCGGTCAAAGGGGAATCGGAATGCCAATCAACATCGGATGATTGAACACCTCACACAGTGGGCACACCCTGATGATTGAAGATCACACAAATAAACAGGTAGAAACAGCTTTGAGATGCTTTTGTCTCTCTGTCGCGTTTGACTGAGTTTCTTGCACTAAGCACAGAAATCAGAATGTTCATGATCAGCACGGGGAACATGATGCCACAAAGCACAATAAAAACACCACGCACCTGATTGCATGCTTCTTGGAAATTAAGCTTGCTAAACGGCACCATTTCTCCGCTGAAGTCAACAACATAGCAGCAAGAAGAGCTTGCCCCGCAATAAGCTTGGCACAACCGTGGCGTTCTTTGTGAGTTCTGGGTCCTGTCCAATAGCACAATCATTGGACCGTGGCTGCAAGTTGAAGCATGCAACCAAAAAACTCAAGCGGAAATGCTTGGTTCATGCAGACAGGCAGACAGTGCAGCTCTGGGCCTCATAGGTAAGCATCGTTCCGCCCTGGCCATCGGCTACCTGACACAGGCACAAAATGTTGGCGTGCGTTTCAAAAATCGTGAAGGTCATGCTAAACCATCCTTGCCTGGTGCCAAGTGCCTTCGTTCAGTGGTGGGCATCACAGCTGTTCAAAACATGTGGATCAAAGCGGGTGGAAATTGCACCGAATGTCTCTCCAGTGACCACACATTGAAAGCCTTCTTGACCCTCCAGCTCATCCACTTCAAAGTCACCCAGGATAGCGAAGCGCCAGGCTATAATAATTGCCTTGCGTCGGAAACACGCTAAAGTCACACTGGAAACAGGACTACACAGTCAGGCACGCTCTTGGCGCCATAAAGGCTTGACCAATTCTTCAATCTATTGGAATTGGAATAGTATGTTTTTAACAACTGGCTTGTAGATCCAAATTAAGTTCCTTGAAGTGATCTGGCTCATGCAAGAATAAAAGCCCAGCCCCCATTCTCAGCTTCAGTTTTCCCGCTGGTTTTTGGGTCAAGCTTTGAGGAGGCTGTTGTTGGCAAGTGCGGCAAGCACTCAAGTGGGCTCTAAATGTGCTCAAGTGTGCCGAAGGAGAACTTTGAAAATATGTCATCCCGTTATCCCGAAGACCATGAAAGGGGTCAAAGTATATACAACAACCCACCACATTGCAAAACTTCGAACCATGAAGTCGCACTAGACCCATCACTTTCTGCCTGCCTGCCTGCCTGCCTGCCTGCCTGCCTGTTGGTCTGTTTGACACTCTGTCGTGCCATCTGTATGTGCGTCTGCATGTCTATCCATGATCATGCTTGCATGTACTGTAATAGGTATTTGTGCAGCACGTTTCTTTGTGAAACTCAAACTGCTTAGATAACATAGACAGAAAAGTCCTCCAAGTTGGATGGAGGATAAACCACTTGTGATTTCCTAGGTTTGCATCTAATCTATCTGTCTTGTTGAGATTCCTTGGCGATCGCTCTTTAAGAAGCGATCTTGAATCCCCAAAGCTTTAGAGAGTTTGACCCCTGCAATGTGAAGAGTCATACAGCATGGTCCCAATGGACTGGAGTTTGCAGTGCTTGAAATACAGTAACACCCGCGGCAGAGAGCAACAGCTCGGATAATGTTATTTGATTTGACTATGCCACTATGCCTGAAATTGATTGGATATGTTTTGAGTCCCAAGGCCACGCCTTCCAGCCATTCTGCCATTCTTCCACATCTAATGTCCAGTAGGCTTGCCACATGATGAAGGCCTCACAATGGACCGAGGCTATTGATATCGTGCCATGTCTCTTGCCCATTAAAGCGAGATGAATCTGAGGCCCGCACGAAGTAAATGACTGCAATGCAAAACCTTGGCCGAGTGCTAAGGTAGACTGACACAACCCAGACAACGTAGCAAGCGAACCTTGCACTTCTTTTTGCTCCCGAAAACGATCGCGATCTTTTCGATCAGAAGCAAGCTGCTTCGCCTGCCTCTACTGGCACTGGTTCAGATTGCTGAACTTTCTCCAGTGACCGACCAATCGATAGATTGCTCACCTTCTAATTGGCTCAGAAAGTTCACCCAAAGCTCCAGAAGCACTAAGAATCTTTTTACTGACCTGAGAGAAATGTACAGGAGCGTGTCTGTGAGGCTTTGAAGCGCAGCTTTCAAACGAAACAGTCCTTACATGTCCTTACTTAGATTATTGTTCATCCTCCTTCGGAATCATGTCTACAGTAAAATGCATGAGCTCACCCCACACAGCCCGGTCGTACGTCCTCATATGTCTGTTATTTCAACGCGAGCGATCATGTAAGACACTTTCTTCAGTGGAATCAAAGGTCCAAGCATAAATCACTCCTCTCTTGCATATCTGTGCCCACTCAGTTCATGAATGGTAGCAATTCGTACCAAGATGATGCAAGATGCTGGTATCTTTGAATTTGCTGCGGCTTCTTCGTACTTGCTGCTGATTACGTCGAAATAAAACTCCCCCGCGTTCCTCAGTTTCATAGATTGTCCTTATGGAACTTATGGAACAAGATCACTCTCTTGATCTCTGTCATGGAAAAAGATGTTGGCAGTGTAAAGCCATCCTGAAACCAAACAAACATATCAAACAGGACTGCTTGGCTCGGTAAATGATGGCAAGTGGCTTTACAGTGGAGAGGCCGATAGCACAGACAAACGCAAAATGAGCCAGCTGCGAATGCCAGAGCACGACTGCTACGCACATTGTGGCAGCGGAGAAGACTAAATGTACAAGCCTGGCATTCTCTGGCACTTTGATCAACTTTGCAAATGCTGTGCAATTTGAAACACATCCAAGATATTCCAAGAGTTTCAAATCGCTTCAAAATGTTTCGTAGACTTGCTGGAATGCCTGTTTCCTTCGGAATGCTTGCCTGCAAAACCTGGTATCTTTATTTTTGCATCAACTTGTGAGTCCTTATCCATGGGTTGTCTCCTTTCTTTAGCGTATTTGTGGGGTGCTCACCTGTGAACAGTGTTCTCGTGACTCGTGACCCCTGAGTAGATCTCTGATATGACCTGGTCACTTCCCCTTTTCACACGTTTCACGTGCCCTCCTGTCCGTCCGTCCATGGAATGTTAGTCAGCGGGCTACTTCCACGTTGTGGATCTTTTTCTCGCTATGGATGGTGGGACTATTGCGAGCTATGCTTTCATCCGCATATAAATATAAGACAAGATAAGATAAGATCTCAGAGAATAGACACATGAAATGGATGGCAAACCTCAAAGCTTCATTCACGACTGCAAAACCCTGGTGCACCTGTCCTGCAAAAAAACAGAAAGACATGTGCATGTGTCCAATGTTTTTCATAAGTGACCCTTGCAAGACCCTTCGCTTCGGTGAAGAAACCTGGAAGTCTCTGCAAGTCGCCAATGTTAGGTTTCAAATCTGGACTCCAGCGGTTTGCCCGAAAGCTCTGAAACCTCTTAAAACCTTCCAAAACTTGAGAAAATTGTATCGTCATCCTTGGTTATCCCGACCAAATTAGTGGCAAAGGCTAAAGGGAGTCCATCTGACCCTGGTGGGGCCACCCCACTCTTCCTAAGAATCCTAAGAATTACAAAACGTCTTCACCTTTTCATCTAGTACTCTCTCCTGATTTTTTTGTGGGCGGCCAATTTACTTTTCTGCACTTGTAAACCGCTCTATGCAGCTCGGTACAAAAATATCAAAAAAAAAATGCTATTCGGCAGGCAGTGAGGGCTACAATAAGGATCCTTATGTCCCCGAAACTGCAGGCTAGCTGCTAGCTGGAACCTAACCGTGGTGCTTTGTAGGCTAGGGCTCCCGAGACAGCCTTATTTTCACTACTGCATTCACCGAAATGTTTTAACACATTCGCGAGAAGTTAGGCTGAAAATCCTCAAAATAGAACATAACATGTGACGAACCGTCATTATTGAACTTTTTGCTGTGTTTTTCGCTTAAAAAATACGAACTTACAAAAAAAACGGGAAAACTCATGTATTGAAAGAACAGTGAACATAGTCATATACAATCCTTACAAGGACCTTTAGAATCTTTAGATGTCAACTCCCATATTATGGAATATGATGGTTTATTCTTCTGGGTGATGAGTTGGTTGTTTGCCAGCTCTTTGATGTGGACAAGCTGCAAGTAGACCAGTTGCACCACCAATTTGGGCCATTTCTTCAATAAGCGCTGCAGCATAGGGCCTATAGGCTTCATGACCTGGGCAAGAAGGGGTTGGCTCGAGTCGCATGGCTAACGCAACAGCATCTGATAGCATCTGATACAGAAGCATCTGCCAACTTTATGATATCTTTTAGGAAAGCATGTGGGTCAAGTCTTTTAGAAAATGGATAGCGCAGTAGCGTTTGGGTATCGTTTGGATGTACTTGGATAGCTTTTGGCATGCAAGACCTCGCATTGAGAAGCCGACCAATATTCGGTCCCACAACGTCTGGTAGGCATGACGTTCTATGTAGGAGCCCAGAGCAACAAAGATCCACACGTAGTACAGAATCAGCCACCAAAGGTAGAATTGCGTCATCGTCCCAAATAGCAAGGTTGAGAAAGAGACATTCAAACAGCTTTCAGCATCACCATCACAAATACGGAAGTGCGTTGCTCCCATTGAAATATCCGAGACTGGTGCTGCATACCATCGAAGACCATACGATAAAAGCAAAGGAGAGACGTGCACCACAACTGAAGTCATGTGGGCCTGCACAGCGAAGTCAAAAACACCACGCGGCACAAATCGGCACAACAGAGCAGCCCAAAAAAATGAATCAATGGACGCAGCTCGTGCTTGGAGTAGTTATTCAGTTATTCTTCCTCTGCATCCACGGGACATACGAATGGAAAATCATGGCATGGTTGAACGCAAGCACACTCCATGCTAAAGGTCCATTCGCGCACATAAATACAGTACCTAAGGTAGAGCTGAGAATCTTGGTAGGAAAAGAACCTGTCGTCTAGTCATCGTCTAGTCTAGTCAGCGGAAGGTTCTTTGTCCAAAATGGAAATCTTGAAGTTAGGTGAATAATGATGAACAAAGACATCATTGCAGACTACAAAATGGCAGTGTCAGGAAACGCAACTGCAGCGGACCACAACAAAGCTCTGACTACCCAAACCACACCAGCATCACACATCATTACACCATAACATAAGTAACATATCAATAACATGGGTTACATTGCAATGTGATAGTGCTCCATGAGGCAGCCTGCTGCCAGCTTCATTACCCATCTCAACCTTGAAGACCTCTGGTATCATCAAAGCATATCGAAAATTATATCGAAGCTACAGTTCTGCTTGACCGGTTTTCGGCCCGTTTCAGCTTATCTCGCCCTGATCTTTCAGATAAGGCGCGGAAGACTGCTGGAGATTTCGGCGTCACCTCAGACAAATGAGACAAATGCAGAGATGCAAAATGCGCAAGATAGGCGGCGGGGTCCAAATCCAGTTGTAAGCCGCCAACCCAGCAATAGAAGATGCAAAGGAAGTTGGCCCAGTAGCAGAAATCCCACCTCGGATGCATGTCAAGATAAATTGTAGGGTCCACGTTTGAAGAACTAAGCCTAACTAAGTCAGATGCATGTAATTATGTAATTCCTTCAGCCGGCTGAACAATTCCAATGACTCAAGCTTTTGATCTGCCAGGATGCAAAAGAAAATGTTGCTTCTTTCGATAGAACTTCACCAACCGCACAATGATCAATGAAAGCACCTTTGGGGTGAAGAACAGGTAGTAGAGGTTTGGAAACGCTCCCACAATGTAAACGCTCAGCATGATGTTCGCCACACCAATCGTAAACCAGTGCCTGCAATTTCCAACGGCTGCAACATCACAAATACCACCAAGGATTGATCAACGATGATCAAACACCAAAGCTGCCCTGAACAAATGTACAAGACTGGGGGACTAGCAAGACATGAATTGAGCATCACCAAGAGTGCTCAAATTGCCTCACATCTTTACCCCCTACCATGCAAGAGCAAAAAGAAAGAATCATACTGAATGAAAAGAGGAGAAAAAGAAGCGGAAGAAGAAGACTTGGTAAGCATTAGATGCAACAATAAACTGCGGTAATCGAAGACTCAACCAAAATGTGTGACTTCTTGGATTTCCGCACTGTGCGAAGCCAGGTGACTTGTCCACCTCTACAGCCTTGCTCGCTAATGCCTGCTGCCTATCAGACCGCTCTTGCATATCGCCCAACTGAGCAAAGGCAGCAACCACCTGCAACACAGTCAGACGGTCCAGATGGTCCAGACGGTCAAATGCAAATCAAATATCTTGCTAAATCTTGCAAACAGAAAAACGGAGTTCCCAATTACGAAGATATGAAGCTAATAGCAGTTGTTATAAGAATGTCGGGGTCCGTGATGAAGAATGCATCTTTACAACTCATTAAAAGTCTATCATGCGCTTACAAGGTTTGATCTTTGTGCAAGGTTCTTTATTTGAATGGACTTCCTCATGTCAGCCCATTGCCTACTGAGCCTGACCTGGCCCCAGAAATCTCTTGAGACTCCTCTTGAGACTTCTCTTGAGACTCCTCAAGAGAATATCTTTTGGGTTCATTTGAGTTTGGAATGTTTGGATATGTTGGTTTTAGCTTTGGACGTGCATACTGAGCAGTACACTCCACCGCCACAGCCACCTTCGACTGACGGCTGACAGCAGTTAAAACCTTAGATTTTTTGCTTCAGGACTGAGCGCGAATGCCTCGGAGATCAAACACCTGTTGGTTTTATTTATATACGTGTTTTTTTTATTCTCTCCTGTTTATATAAATTTATATAGGTAGTTTCAGCAAACAGGAGAGTTATCAGAATGATGCAGAGCAAAGTATCCTGCCACTGATGACAAATAGCGCTCAAGGTGCTGGCGAGTCTCTGCAACTCCAGGCAGCAAAACAAGCAAAAGCCTCGCAGCAGCGCGTGATCACTCCTCTACTTATCATACTATCGGAAGCTTTCTTGTGAAATAGTATGTATCATGATGTATCATGACGTATCATGTTCTCATTTCCAGCAGCTGGTGCAATTTGACTCAACCACCAAAGCCCGAGCTCTCTTGGTGCACGCATGCATGGCCGGTAGGTGCATTCCGTATATTGGCGATGGTAAGGCATTAGCATGAATTTTGACAACGCAGGCACATATATATATACATACATCATGTCAAGTTCGATTTTAGAGAAGGCTGCTGGACACGGGCAACTGTTTTGGTCGCAAATTCTGCTGGCCGGTACAGGCTGCTGTTCAAGGCAGGGCGATTGACGCAAATGCCGATGCGGGACAAGAGGTTCCCGCCAAGCTGGGTACTAGCGTCTCTGAGACTTTCGCAAGTGTTCAGGACAGGAAGCTCCTTTTGCAGGCACCCATTGCAAGCCCACGTGTCTCAGCAACCCCTTGCCCCAAGTTGCAAAACCCTGGCCCCGGCACCCAGCATGATCCTGCAGGTCTTGTTTGCAGGACAATGAATCAATGCACACAGAGAACTGCGAAGGCATCGCCACCAAGTCGATAAACATGCAATTTCAGAACATGTGATCAAACTCAAATACCTAGAAAATCTTAGAAAGAACGAGTACTCTCGAGTTGAGCTTCCAAGAGTTAGGAACCTGATGTTGCGAGAGAGAACATGAAGGCATGTTGTGCATTGATAGTAAGCACTTTCATGGGAAACCTTGGAGATTGGAACTAGACACATTCACATACTAGAAATCTAGAAACCACAAGAACGAACAATTTGTGGGGAGAACAAACTAAGAAGGCTGAAACCGCTGCCCGAGTTTTAATTTTGCAACAGTATAGCTTCTTATCATCTAAGATTGCTGGCTCAGTGCTTGCTTCTGAATGTTCCCAGCGGACTACAACATCCTGTGAAATTGATTAAACATAGTAAACAAATATTCAAAATTATTCAAACTGTCTCACCTGTAATCATTCTATTCAACCCCAGCCTGCCAAGCTCTCCAGCAGCATGATGCGGCAGTGTAAAGAGACCGATGGGATCCGGCATGGCCGGCATGGCCGGCGTCGTGTCAAGCAATTGCAGCCCAGGCTTGAGCAAAACGCTGCACCAAAATGCACCAAAGCTTTAAAAAATGCCCAAAACACCGGAATCTTTGAGGACTGCGAATGCCCCATTCAAATCGTCCAACATATTAGGGATACGTGCATCTCCATGTTCATGTTTAGTTTCATAGTCGCATGTGTATCTTTCTATTGATATACTTGCATTTGTTAACTACTGATATTCATAATAGACGTATAGACGTACATACATGCATACCTATACGCCTATACATACATGTTATGTTCAAACATACTCGTAAAGAGCTTACCATTGCACTACAGTAGATAGGGATTGGGACTTTTGCGGGGGTCGAGCATTTGGTTTGCTGACTGGTGAAAGCAATCCGTTAGGGCTGTGATGAACAGCTAGTGGTTATGAAGAGATAGAGAGGAAGATGAGGAAGGGAGTAAAAAGTCAAGAAGCAAAAAAAAACAAGGATCTTGCAGAGATCAAGTTTCTGTCCATATGTTGTACATTGTTGCACCACATACTTGCCTTTGCAGAATGGTACAGTTTTTTGGCAGGAAAGGTGCATGTGGTTCAGGGAATTGACCCTTGCTTTTGCAACAGGCCCAAGAGTGCTGAGACCATGCTCTACAGTTGTGGATTGATTCTGTGTTGGCAAAAATATTGACCTGATACTGAATACCAAGATACAGAGTAATCCTACCCTACCATGGCCAGTATTGGTTTAATTGGGGGGTCAAAGCAAACGGCGCTTTGTACACATTTGGATATAATTTATATTTTAAATCTATATATTTAAACTCAAAAATGCACCATATTGTGGAGCAACACTTTGTTCAAACATAAAAACCTTCAAAGCAATGCACTTTTCCAAGAGTTCAACCTCTCGTTTTTTGTCTGCATACATACGTGTATATGTATGTTTACAAATATAGGTATATGATATGTACATATATACATATATATATACATACATATATACATATATATATATACATACATATATACACACGTATATGTGTACCTATGTGTATATGTATATATTGCATGTATCTGCACGTGTCTGTGTGCAAGTGCATATGTGCAAATATACATATATATATACTATAAATATAGTAATATATATATATATGTGTGTTATGTCTGTGTGTGTGTGCGTGTTTGTTTAGGTTTAGATCTGTGTATATATTTACATATATACACATATATTGTGTATCTGTTCGTTTAGATCTGTATATATATATATATGTATACGAATATGACCTATGTATTCATATCCATATATATATACATATTATATACATATATACATATGTCATTCATATGTTTAGATCTGTGTATATAAGTGCAACAGTACGTGATTATCTATACGTATGTATGTATACGTATGTATGTATACGTATGTATGTTTGTTACATGAACACCCACTCTCCAACCCTTCAGAACTATAGACAGCAATCATGTGGTACCGAGAGTAAACTCATCTTGAAATCCCCGTCATCAGCAATCAAACTCGTGTTGACATCCCTTCATGACCTTGTCCTGGGGTGTGGGGGGGGGCAATAGCGTCGATCAATGCAATACTTCAATTCTGCCTATTCAGCTTCAAACTTCGTGACATGAAATCCATGCTGGACATTACAGCACTTCTTTCGCATTTCTTTCAATTATATAGCAGCATTTCAGATGTTTCTTGTTTCAGCTTGTTTCCAAGTCTCGCATACACAACATGTTGTTATTGTACGCATCTAGAACCTTGTCCATGCTCGGGGATGATTTGCGGGATACCGGAGGCAACCATGCCACGTCATTCGAAGCACTCAAAGCAGTGCGAGACTTGCAATTGATATGAGAAGGGAAATAACAGCAGGGGATGACATGATGAGCAGTTGATGATGCAATGAAATGATTTTGAGACATTTCTTGTCACCAAAAACGCATGAAAACAGCACCAGGATAGAGTATTGATAGTTCCATAAGGTCGGACCACGCTGCATATATCATTCATCTATGATATCGATGCAAACGTCAGCTCTCCTTGAACTTTCAAGACGTTGGGCTCCAGACGGCAATGACTTTAACAAAGCCGAGACGATAGGTGTGACAATCATATTCACTTCGGAGTACGCCAGCCGCCTTGGACAGTTCAATCGTGTTCAAACACACCTGCACTGCATCTTCAAACAGGCTCAGAATTCAGAACCGTGAGCTGTACCCAGTGAGAGAGCCCCTGTGTACAGAGCATACTGTGGCCACTACAGCCAACACTACAGTCTATCTCAAATTGCAAAGGGTCCACCCTGGGATCGCTGCAGCATTTCGCAGCAGTTCATGAGGCGCAGAGAGCTAACAGCAATGATGACCGATCTCATCCAAAGATTGTCGATCTCAGCTGCTCTCATCTAAAATCGAGAAAAATGCTGTCATTTCTCTGCTCGGAATTCAGGTTTGAGATTTGCATGCATGGATGTCACAAACATGTTCCATGTCAGTCTATAGTAGAGGGTGTGTGTTTGTGCATACTTGCATGTATATTCATATGATCTCATATGTATGTATGTACATACATAAGTAACTCATGTGATATGTGCATTTATATATATATATATTGATTTTGTAATTTATATATATATATATTGATTTTAAAATGTATATATATATATTACATATATTACATATATACATATATTACATATATTACATATATTACATATATTATATATTATATATGTTGTACATGTTAAATATATATATATATTGTATATTATATTTTATAATTTTATATGTGTTATATATATTATATCTATTATATTTATATATATATTATAATATCTATATATAGATTATAATATCTATATATATATTATATTATATATGTATATATATATATTACATATATACTACATATATTATTATTTCATGTTGTATAGATATAAGATATGTATAAAAAATATATTATACACATATATATATATGTATATAGTAATTTTTTATTTATTTCTCCGCCGGCCCACGCGATGAGCAGGGGAACGCGTCAGAGAAAAAGTGTCGTTCTGGCACTGCCGCTTTGGCGCTGGCACCTCGCTGCTCCTTTGGGTTTTGCAGCTGGGTGGTGTTTCGCTGTGGCGAGGCCAGCCCCTTGGCAGCGGTCTCCTTGCCTCCACAGCTGTTTTTCTAGTGAGTTCAGAAGGCGACGTTAGGCACCGAGAGCCGTGTCCCGCAGAGCCCACGAAACCTTCAGCAGGAAGCAAAAACATCGTAAAATGCACTGTTGTTATCCTTTTCGCATATAGAAACTACATCTTACAACCTGGTGAAAACTGCGTAAATACCAGTGTTTTGCTAGGCACTGGCACAAAAACATTGTCAATACCCTAGGCAAAAAAAATCGTAATTGAAGGACCAGATAACCCCACATGTTAAGCTTTCCGATTGTTATGAGACGAAGGTGATGACTTGGGATGGTGGGAGCAGATGATGATTGGATGGGGAAGAGGTAGGACGATTTTCAGGGGTTCAAAAAAGGGGACAACAAGCTGCATTGCAAGTGCTGCAACAACAACAACAACAACAACAAACACAAGAACAAGAACAAGCACAAGCACAAGAATGCGACGAAAAGATGTGTGGTAAGATGGTTACAAGCTCCGCTATGACAAGAACATCACACTGTGCTCTGCACATGCGCGCACGCGCAGAGCACATGAACAACACCAACGCTCACACTACTATACATAACCCTTGTGGCATCGCCGGTGTGCGAAGCTCTACAATATTATAATATATAGATATACACTGTATATATATATGTGATTATCTATATATATATATATGATATATTATGTATATTCCCATACTTGCGTATCATATACGTATATCAAATGCCTCGGTCTCTAGTGCCAAATTGACTTATTCAATACATGGTTTTCTCAAAGTGAGACAATAAGTCCCCGGCCAGTCCACGATCTGAGCAGGTCACTTGACCTTTTGCAATAAAAACCTGGGAGGCACAAGGCAGGCACAAAGCAGGCAAATGGCAACTGGTGAGACATCCGGTTGAATGATTCAGAGCATTTCAGAGCAACTAATGCAATGGAATGCAATGGAATGCAATGGAATGCAATGGAATGCAATGGAATGCAATGGAATGCAATGGAATGCAATGGACCCGCCAAGTTTGGTCGTGGTTCATCTTGGTTCCATACGATAAGTAGGGCAAAGGTCGCTAAATGGAGCAAGACCTTGGTTTGCTTCCTGGTTTGCTTCGTGGAAGCCCAAGAATCTGACTCATCAGATGCCCCTTGAGGTGCTTGCTTCAAGGTACAAACCCCAGGGCTTTCGTATTTCATTGCCAATCACCTGCACAAGCATGGGCTCGTTGCAAAGCAATGAATGAGACTTGCATGAGCAGAGAGCAAAACTCAATTGGGCCAACTCATTCTGCAACTCACTCTGCACGTGCCTCTCCAAATTTCATAAAGACGGTGAGTGTGACAAGAGGTAACGCAAGCCCAGCCTCATATCCACAGTTGTAAAACGTCCAGCTTGGATTTTACTTGTATATTTCCCAACAGTGGATTGTGCAGAGCAAAGACTGACCAAAGATACTGAAGAAAGACATGGGTAATATCATGTGAAATCATGGTAAATCAGCTAGTTCAAGGTATCTATATAAAGCATTCTAAAGTATCTCCTGACACTGACATGACCCGATATGGCACAACAATGTGCAACCAGCAACGCACGGATGCTTTGGGTCGGACAAAAACGGTCAAGCTGCTGCACCATTCCGGTGCCTGCCAAACGTCATGCTTTGCAAGGCAAGCGGTTTAGTGATTAGTGCTTCTCATGTCACCCTGTCCTCGTCTCGAAGAGTTGAAATACACAGCAAAACCAGGAGCGAAGTCAATGCCTGGAGGACGGTAAAGGCTCAATAGAAGATAAAGCCACAAAGCACGAAGAAAATCAGGAAAGTCATCAAGGACGTGACAATATGTGGGGCTTCGGAAACATCCTGCGAGATTCTGAAACTACCGAAAGCCTGGATGGCCAAATCACAGAGCTGCGTATACTGTACAGTGGTCCAGTTGAAAGACCTCAAGGGTTGCATCGGTGGATAGAATATCGCACCTTTTGACACATCAAAACACAAAGGGCAATAGGGATCTATAGGGATCGATAGGGATCGATAGGGTTCCATAGCGATTCCGTAGGGATACCATAGGGATTCCATGGACGCTTGATCTTGCATGGCTGGCTGGGCATTTCTACAAACTGGATTCTACAGAAGCAAACACCTCCTATGTACAGTGTGCACTACTAGTAGGGGGCATTGCTGTCAACACCTGCCTCTTGGGAATAAATATGAGAAAAATATGAATACTGAATAATACTGGATACATATTGAGAAAAATCAGAAATGAATCCTAAGACTAAGACGTGACTAAGACGAATCTAAGACTTTGCGATCGAGCCTTTGAGTCTCCTCTTTAAGGCCGTGGCACAATGGCCTCACATTCACGCAGCCGAAAGATCTCCTGCCATGGACTGCCCGACGGGCACTGCCCGATCTGCCCGATCTGATCGATTTCTTCGAGACGAATCGAGACACTCAAAATGGTGCTCCATGGTGGTCCCCTTTTCCAAAAACATTTGCTGCGCTTATACACTTGCGCATACTTACGCTTCAGAGTTGCTTAAGGCACACCAAGCATCAGTAGGAATTCACTGCAGTAGGGTCACGATTGTACAGCTTGCAAAGATCCACTGGCCAAGATGAACTGATGACACACGTCACATTGGACGCCAAATTAGTCCAAATTGCAATGGAACTCTTAATTTCAAGCTAAAATCACCGGAAAAAAAAAACAGAAAGTCCGCGTTACTCACTATCAGCATGACATGCAGTGTGTGCGTGTGCTGCCGTGTGAGTGTGTGGATGTGTGTGTGTGTCTGTGGGAGCTCGCGCTGGCAGTTGCAAAAAACATTGGCAGGAGACAAACTACCTCGCTGCAGCTCAGCATTGCAGCCAGTACAGAATCCAGAACTGGATACATTTGCCAACTGATAAAACAGAAAGAATATGAAAGAAGAAGCTATTTGCACATTTGCTTCGCCAAGGATACATGAATCGTATCTGGCTAGCTCTGCAGGGTCCTGATTCGGGCAGGTTGCAATGGCAAGAAGCACCTGCAAAGATAGGCAGCAACAGCAGTCACTAAGTAGTCTGATTTTCAACCCATGTTCAACCCACAACCCGTCATCGAAGGGTCTCGTGGTAGAAATGTCGGTGTTTTCGACCGACGAACCCAGCGCCTCTTCACTGTGGTGCAAATTTGGAACTAGGCATGCCTTGTCAAACAAAACTCTGAGTGACTTCCTTTGCAAGTCAGTGCTTCGTGGAATTTAATCCAAAGGCTTTCCAAGTTGCAAAAAAATTGACCGGAAGGTAGACTCCTTAGGTTCCCGCAAGTGACATTGCGCATGACAAATCTGACAGAATCTGACTGTCTCAATTTCCAGTGAATCGGATATCTCAGTTGGTCTGTTTGCAGATCCTACGTGAAGAATCTCTGGGTTGAGGCAGTGAAGGCGGGCGTCGAGGTGGAATTGGGAGATTGCGAGTATACAGACACCAGAACACCACCCACAAACCACCAAGACACCACCCCCAATCGAGACGCCAACGAGACTCTGCTGAGATACACCCTTTGCGCAACACACAGAGATACCACGGACTTACTCTAGGACCCGTACTCTCCTTAACACATCTTAATATCATCTACCCATGAGCGGCCAAGGCACGCTCTACTTCCAAGATCGCATCAAAGAATCTCCTCCAGAGTGTCTTGTCCTGCACACTGCACAAGGAATCACAAGCTGAAAATCTGTAGGCGGGTGGCTTCAGCAAGAATTTCCACATTGAGATGAAAGAACGACCATGTGCGCTGCCCGAAAATAATCAAAGTTCACCAAATTTCTCTCATTCGAGCACAGTGCATTCAGTGCACCAGGCTGAACAGGCAGCATGTTCAGCTTTCAGATCCTGCCTTTGCTGGCTGTGGAGCAAGCCGGGCGACAAAGGACGGTATGTCTTCCTGGCAGAACTGATAGGGCAAGAGGAACCAAAAAAATGCATAAATAAATGAAGAAATATTTGCCCAACTAAGAGCCCAGATGGCGAAATTCAATTCCAGTGTCCAAAGCGCGAACATGGCCGCCAATACACCCATGAAAGCAGCAGCACTCTCTGCAGCAAAACCATGTCCCAGAAGCACACATGGCCTCACATAGCCAACTCTTCCAAATTGGAATAAGAACCCTTAGAGATCCTTCTGGCCTATGTGTTTGACATGTTTACAGGGAATGTGCTAAAGTACAAGCTCCCAGGGGCACCTCTGTCTCTGCTCTCCCGTTGCTTTTCCAATGGGAATCCACATCCTCTTGAGAAGGGCCTTCCGTAAAGTTGATGACGTACTGGGCCTGGCTAGGACATGCATCTTCAGATAAATGGTAAGGAACCTTGAGATAGCAAGCACTGTAGATAATTATAGTCGTCACGTTGCCTGCCCATAAACCAAGATCTTCTGGATGTTCGCCTAGATTTCAAAGCGGTTCAAAACTAACATGTTCTAACCCTGGTGCATGATCAAACTGAAAAATTTCAATCTCGGCGTCCGAAAGAGTCGGACTGACTGCGCATATACACCTTGGGCACTGCTACTAGAAGGCTGTCGGGACTTTGCTTCAGGATTCCCATTTTTCTGCGCCACAGTGCCCTACTTCATCGGCAAAATGTGCCCAAAATTCGACAAGTGTCGTTTGGGCCCAGGATCAACTGCCATGATGTACTCAGGGCCTAAGTGCCGCATGCGGCGCCACTCAAAGCCGAGGCTGTTCCACAAAGTATGGAGGTTGCAAATGCTGGTCTACGGAGACGAGTACCTCAATAATCTTAATATAAAATAATATAAATTACCTTTCCGATTTTCACCACAATCTGCTCTCAATTATTTCTCGTTCCCAGAAAATGTCGAACGGCCTTTGCACATTCTACCGTTCTACCGTTCTACCATTCTACCTGTCTCTGTTTCAGGATGATGCGTCATGATGTGCCAGACCCCTGTTCATGACTTTGTGAGGCCGGCGCGGAAGTACTCGTCATGCCTTCCTGGCAATTCTTCGCTGTGTCTGTGACTGCTGTGACTTGTGACTTTGCTACGCTTTGCTTTCTGGTACCCGCAGGGCCTTTGCTGGACAAGTCGCCCTGCACCTTGTGCCAGTACCTGAGACAATGACAAGTATTGCTTGAATATGCTTGAATCATGCCTAATATATTTTAATCATTTCTAATCTACTTGAATCTTCACTAGAATCACTAGACTGTATTATATAGGTTTTCCGTTCAAGTCGCCGCTATGCAGTGATAACAAAATATCTGAGCTTCGTGCTTGATTTGACCTGATTCATAGAATAATGCCTGGCACTTTGCAGCTGGTCCATGCTTGCACGGTCCGACAAAGAAAGCAACACAGAAATGCTCGAAACATCTCGAAACTTGAAATGCCTTCATGAGGTTCACGGGTGCTTCACCTGCAAATGGTACCAAGAGAGCAAACCACCCCCTGTTGAGTGCTACCCGCCCTAGCGCAGAAAGAAAATGAAGCAAGAGCGGAAACGCTGCAGCCTGGTGTCTGCAGGAATCGTGTTATGTCCTGGAAAGGAAATGCAACATGGGGAAGGAATCCGATGTCATGCCCTGAATGTGGAATGCTAATGACTCCTACTGACTGCCAGCATTTGTTTATTCAGAAGAAACGAGCGAACTTGTTCAACATAGCACGGATCCTGAACGGTCAGGAGGGTAACTTGATGCCAGGAGTCCTGCGCCCAACTAAAATGTTGAAAATACCGGGATGTTTGGAAAGTTTTTTTGAAGTCGTATTGAAAAATAATACATATATATATAATATGTATATATACATATGATATATATAATATGATATGTATATATGCATATATGATACTTACATGTATATATATATTATTCATATATATATATTATTCATATATTATATTTACATATATATGATATGATGTGTATATATATATATATGATATTTACATATATATATAATATGTATATATATATAATATTTATATATATATATGATATTTACATATATATATAATATTTATATATATATATGATATTTACATATATATATATAATATTTATATATATATAATATTTATATATATATAATATTTATATATATAATATATATATATATTATTTATACATATATATATATATGATATTTATAATATATGTGTGTGATATTTATTCATATATATATATATACATATGATATTTATTTATTTATAAATATATATAGATATTATAATATATCTTTACTGCTCCACAACTCTTGTTGAGTTGCGAAGCTGCAGACCTGCAAAGCTTGAGCGACTTCTGAGATCACCCTGCTGTTGCCACTTCGAAGTAGCATTTGCAGAGAGTAATTATACCTGACAGCATCTTGCAACCAGTCAACATAAAAATGCAAAAATTACGCTGACTCGTTTGAGCTGTCAGAGCTGCAAGTTACAACAGTTCAAGAGCACCTGTTGACTTGGATGTGGTCCTTAGCACGAACCGTCCCAGCAGCTTCAGTCAGGAGGCCAATTCAATAAGCCACAAGAAGACACTGCCAAGATCTGCCAAGACTGTAAATCTCCCCCTGTAAGCCTGTTCCGGTGCAGGTTCTGGAGAGGTTCCAGGAGTGTCCGGTGCGGATTCTGGAGTGGTTCTGGAGGTTTCAGCGTGCTCCGGACATTCAATTTGGTGGTTTCGTTGGTGTTTTGGAGGTTCCGCTTCCGCTGCGGCGGGTCCCAGAGGGTTCCAAATGGGTCTGGAAATTTAGGGGTTCCGGCGTGGCTCCGGGGGGTTTTGAAAGTTTCAGGGATGCCACATGGGCTTGTTTGCAAGACCTCCATCTCTTTGAATCAATCTAGTGGCTCACAATCGCTACCAGCTGTCTCAGAATCTTCACAAGTTGTGTCCAAATACAAAGCAGAAGACTGTCAAAATCCAGTAAGCCGGATGCTGCTTGAGACGTAAGCTGGTATGTAGCTGCAGCCTGACAGAAGGTCCATTTTGTGCTATTATATGCGCACTGAAAACTGGAGAAAAGGAAGCCTTACAGCCAAAATTACCCGAAAACAAGGTTGTGCGCAACTTTTTAGGGGTTTCAAAGGATATTGATTCAAGGGAATCTCAAAGATGTTTCAAAAGAGTTTCTAGGGAATCATCAAATCCCCACTTCGTTAAACTTTATATTCAAGGGAATGTTCAAGGAGTTTAAGGTTTAGGGTTTAGGGTTGATGATGTTGGTGATGTTGATGATTTTGATGATTTTGATGTTGATGATGTTGATGATGTAATTATGTTGATGTTGATGATAATAATAATGATGATGATGTTGTAACATTCAAAGCACAGGTTGCTAAGCTGCGCGTTGCAAGATGAAAGCCATGATCATGGACATGTGCATTTTGACAAAACACCGTGTTTTTTTGATGTTCGGACACGTCGCGGACGTCGGTGCGGGCAAAAGAAGGGGTTTGCCCGCAAGATTACAACACTATAAGATCCTACAAGCATCCACAGACACTCTTCAAGAGGTTGTCCCAAAGCTGCAAGTCTTCACAATCGATATCGTGCCTTCGGGTCAATTAAATCAGCCTTTCTCTTCAGGAGCAGCTTCACCACTGCAATTTGACTTGTCCTCAGTTCAGTGGCACCAAGGGACCTAAACCAATCCCCTGCAACGCGCATTGTGGCAAATTGCTGTGCAGCTCACCAGTGCTATGCAAAAGAAGAAAGTTTGACACCAGTCTTGCAACCAGTCCAGGGATGTTAGTCAGTCTAAAAATACCAAGAACAATACCCTATTGATTTGTGCAGGCTGCATGGATCGTATGTCGAAACTACAGATGTATCGGGCTATCAACCTGTTCATCTTTAGGAACGGGGTCGTATTACCATATATATGTAATGTTAATATATATATATATATATTATATTATATACTGTATATGTATATAATATTACATATATGTATATAGTATTTTGTATAGTTATATAAAATCCGTGAATGGTTCCATGATGGAAATGCGAGTGCACCTACGTACATGTGCGTGTGTGAAAATGTATGGAGATGAACATGCGCATGAGTATCTGCATAGATTGGCATAGATGCGTATTCTATATATTACATATGTATCTACTTTCAACTGTCTGTGATTTTTGTTCATGCCAGGACATTGTATGCCGTCGATTCATCAAGCATGACAATCTAATAAGTCTGCGACTCAATAGCTGCATCCAGAGGTGTAAAATACCATCTTCCTTTCCTGAGCAAACATCATCTTCTTCTTCTATTTGCTTCCCAAAATCCACCATATAAATCAGAATCTGAGGATACTACAGGTCACTCTGAGCAGGGATTTCTACCTAGACACGCGCATCGGAAGCATGATAGCCTTGCAAGTCTTGCACCATCTTGCACCATTTTACACTAAGTTTGTGAAACTCACAGCACAAACCTGTCTGGTTTTTTCCAAGGTCGAGACATGAGACTGTTCGTTGATGTTTGCTGCGAAGTCCAGCAGAAGCTCGCAGCACTTTTCATTTCCCACCCTTCCAGGCATCAAAAAAAAACAGAGTCTGGGCACGGCAAATGCTCAGAAAAAAATCAGTGCCTAGCAGCGACGTGGAGCGGAGCATAGTCCAATCCTTTGATGTCCTCGCTTTGTCATTTGAAGGGCGCCATTCTGGCATTTGAAGCTTGCTCAGTGCGTCGCTTGGAGTTGCTCAGTGATTGCTGGCAGAATTCCCTTGTCCTGAAATGGTGCAGTCTTGTCGATGGCAGCTCTCCTGTGCCAAGCGGAGACCAGTGGCAACAAGGAAACAACGCTTCGAAGCACCTGCGATTGTGCGATGTCATGTTTGATCAATATGACATGTCTGCATGAAAGTGTTGCACACTATGGTGCTGGCAGGGCACACTTCGAGCAAATACCGGGTGCACTTCAAAGCCCCAAAGTAGGACGAATTCCAAAGCCTGAGGTCACATGCATGCAATGGAAGTTTGTGCTGCAGCGAGGTAAAGCACCAATTACAGTACATTCAAACACGACGCGCATATGCGCAGGTATGAGAAGTCTGAATCGCTTGCATTGATTGTGTACTTGTAGCTCGCGGGGGTCTGCTGAATAGTCGTATTGTTGCACTCCGATGTTTATTCTGATGGTTTGCTCACTGCTGCAAGTCATACATCCCAGAGCCCGCAGAGAATTGCAAAAATGGTGGACAGCCAGGGAAAACATGTTCGCCCCAACCCAGACGTTCGCCCTCCAAATAACACACCCAAACAATGTCGTATACTTGTCGCCTGAGGATGAACAAAAATACTGGCTATACGCAGCAATTTTGACTTTATATAGGTTTCAGGATGTTTCAGGATTTATGGTTTTAGGGTTTTAGGGTTGAAGGATTTTGGGTTTCGGGCTTCCGGGTTTTAGGGTTTATTATATTATTGCTTTGGAAAGTTTAAAAATGCTAGCCTTACACAGGGATTTGAGCATGTCAAGGGTATGCCATATGCGGGATCGGTCGTGGGCCAACGTCAGGGTTGCAGCGGACATGTTCAGTGGCCAACAGGGTGTTGCTTGGTTTTGTTGCTTAATTTTGCAGCCAGCCCCAGGTAGGCTAAAAACTAAGAGCGGATAAGTCGATAAGTGAATAGGTTTCCAGGCGTGTAAAATTGTGTTAAAAGGAAGGGCCTGTGACTTTTGGAGGCCTCCTACTTTGGACATCTACATGGTCTACTTAGATTAGGTGCTCCTTGGGCTGAGCCAATTAATTGAAAGACTAGTTTAAGGTGTCAATGTGAGTTGTACTTGTTTGAATCTTGGCTTGGAAAGGGAATGTGAAGCAACATGTTGTAGAACCAATCCCTTTCAACCTTAAGAGAATACGATGGTCCTATTGACACAGGGTTCCTTTAATGTTGCTGAGCCCAGAACAAGCTTGCCCCTGGTTTTTCGCCTGGCGAAAGACATGCAATCCACCCACAAAGCGACAATCCATGCTCCAAAGGGCTTCAGCTGAGAGGACCTAGGAGTACCTGGGAGGACCTAAGGATGTCGAGCGAGATGTCTTGAGTAGCCTTCTGACAGGGAGCAGACCATCCGCGAAAGGGTAAAAGAGCTACTGCCCCATACATCCCTCATTCAAATCCTAAGTTACGGTGACAAATACACAGATACAAATAGTATGCCATGCCCCACAGATCTTTTTCAAAACGTGACTAAGACGGCACCTAAATAGGATGTCAAATTGGCGGACACACTGTGGCTCTCGACCTAATCAAAAGGACGATTGCATTCACAAGCGTAAAACCCGAGAGACTATGCAAAACACAGCAAAGCTGTGCTGTCCAGACCAAGAGTCTCAGCATATCAACATTATCCTCAGCCGGGTCCAGTAAATTGAGTCCGAACGTTCAGCAAATTGGAGTACAACAAAGGATTGACAGACTTTCATGTGGGTGGGGTTGCAGCAATTAACTCCCAGAAGTTCCTACTTGCAAGAAAGACTCTGATGGAAGTGCTGCAAAGGGTGCAGTCCCACGCCAAACAACTTGACCTGATTCGAAGGCAGCCAAAGCAGTCAATTGCAGAAAGCATGCGCGCCTTGCACATGCGCAATCGCAAGGCAAGAACAGTTGGCATACAATCATATACAACTGTCCTATTATACAACCATCATCAACCATCAATTGGTACCAGTATCCGCCGACCCCAGGCAACCCCATCTTGGGGCTATGTTGGCCCATCTTGGGGGCTATGTTGCCCCATCT